TCAGAGGGGCAGCACACACGCACCTCCAAGGGCGGTCAGAGGGGCAGCACACACGCACCTCCAAGGGCGGTCAGAGGGGCAGCACACACGCACCTCCAAGGGCGGTCAGAGGGGCAGCACACACGCACCTCCAAGGGCGGTCAGAGGGGCAGCACACACGCACCTCCAAGGGCGGTCAGAGGGGCAGCACACACGCACCTCCAAGGGCGGTCAGAGGGGCAGCACACACGCACCTCCAAGGGCGGTCAGAGGGGCAGCACACACGCACCTCCAAGGGCGGTCAGAGGGGCAGCACACACGCACCTCCAAGGGCGGTCAGAGGGAGGCAGCACACACGCACCTCCAAGGGCGGTCAGAGGGGCAGCACACACGCACCTCCAAGGGCGGTCAGAGGGGCAGCACACACGCACCTCCAAGGGCGGTCAGAGGGGCAGCACACACGCACCTCCAAGGGCGGTCAGAGGGGCAGCACACACGCACCTCCAAGGGCGGTCAGAGGGGCAGCACACACGCACCTCCAAGGGCGGTCAGAGGGAGGCAGCACACACGCACCTCCAAGGGCGGTCAGAGGGAGGCAGCACACACGCACCTCCAAGGGCGGTCAGAGGGAGGCAGCACACACGCACCTCCAAGGGCGGTCAGAGGGAGGCAGCACACACGCACCTCCAAGGGCGGTCAGAGGGAGGCAGCACACACGCACCTCCAAGGGCGGTCAGAGGGAGGCAGCACACACGCACCTCCAAGGGCGGTCAGAGGGGCAGCACACACGCACCTCCAAGGGCGGTCAGAGGGAGGCAGCACACACGCACCTCCAAGGGCGGTCAGAGGGAGGCAGCACACACGCACCTCCAAGGGCGGTCAGAGGGAGGCAGCACACACGCACCTCCAAGGGCGGTCAGAGGGAGGCAGCACACACGCACCTCCAAGGGCGGTCAGAGGGAGGCAGCACACACGCACCTCCAAGGGCGGTCAGAGGGAGGCAGCACACACGCACCTCCAAGGGCGGTCAGAGGGGCAGCACACACGCACCTCCAAGGGCGGTCAGAGGGGCAGCACACACGCACCTCCAAGGGCGGTCAGAGGGGCAGCACACACGCACCTCCAAGGGCGGTCAGAGGGGCAGCACACACGCACCTCCAAGGGCGGTCAGAGGGGCAGCACACACGCACCTCCAAGGGCGGTCAGAGGGGCAGCACACACGCACCTCCAAGGGCGGTCAGAGGGGCAGCACACACGCACCTCCAAGGGCGGTCAGAGGGGCAGCACACACGCACCTCCAAGGGCGGTCAGAGGGGCAGCACACACGCACCTCCAAGGGCGGTCAGAGGGGCAGCACACACGCACCTCCAAGGGCGGTCAGAGGGGCAGCACACACGCACCTCCAAGGGCGGTCAGAGGGGCAGCACACACGCACCTCCAAGGGCGGTCAGAGGGGCAGCACACACGCACCTCCAAGGGCGGTCAGAGGGGCAGCACACACGCACCTCCAAGGGCGGTCAGAGGGGCAGCACACACGCACCTCCAAGGGCGGTCAGAGGGGCAGCACACACGCACCTCCAAGGGCGGTCAGAGGGGCAGCACACACGCACCTCCAAGGGCGGTCAGAGGGGCAGCACACACGCACCTCCAAGGGCGGTCAGAGGGGCAGCACACACGCACCTCCAAGGGCGGTCAGAGGGGCAGCACACACGCACCTCCAAGGGCGGTCAGAGGGAGGCAGCACACACGCACCTCCAAGGGCGGTCAGAGGGGCAGCACACACGCACCTCCAAGGGCGGTCAGAGGGGCAGCACACACGCACCTCCAAGGGCGGTCAGAGGGGCAGCACACACGCACCTCCAAGGGCGGTCAGAGGGGCAGCACACACGCACCTCCAAGGGCGGTCAGAGGGGCAGCACACACGCACCTCCAAGGGCGGTCAGAGGGGCAGCACACACGCACCTCCAAGGGCGGTCAGAGGGAGGCAGCACACACGCACCTCCAAGGGCGGTCAGAGGGAGGCAGCACACACGCACCTCCAAGGGCGGTCAGAGGGAGGCAGCACACACGCACCTCCAAGGGCGGTCAGAGGGAGGCAGCACACACGCACCTCCAAGGGCGGTCAGAGGGAGGCAGCACACACGCACCTCCAAGGGCGGTCAGAGGGGCAGCACACACGCACCTCCAAGGGCGGTCAGAGGGAGGCAGCACACACGCACCTCCAAGGGCGGTCAGAGGGAGGCAGCACACACGCACCTCCAAGGGCGGTCAGAGGGAGGCAGCACACACGCACCTCCAAGGGCGGTCAGAGGGAGGCAGCACACACGCACCTCCAAGGGCGGTCAGAGGGAGGCAGCACACACGCACCTCCAAGGGCGGTCAGAGGGAGGCAGCACACACGCACCTCCAAGGGCGGTCAGAGGGGCAGCACACACGCACCTCCAAGGGCGGTCAGAGGGGCAGCACACACGCACCTCCAAGGGCGGTCAGAGGGGCAGCACACACGCACCTCCAAGGGCGGTCAGAGGGGCAGCACACACGCACCTCCAAGGGCGGTCAGAGGGGCAGCACACACGCACCTCCAAGGGCGGTCAGAGGGGCAGCACACACGCACCTCCAAGGGCGGTCAGAGGGGCAGCACACACGCACCTCCAAGGGCGGTCAGAGGGGCAGCACACACGCACCTCCAAGGGCGGTCAGAGGGGCAGCACACACGCACCTCCAAGGGCGGTCAGAGGGGCAGCACACACGCACCTCCAAGGGCGGTCAGAGGGGCAGCACACACGCACCTCCAAGGGCGGTCAGAGGGGCAGCACACACGCACCTCCAAGGGCGGTCAGAGGGGCAGCACACACGCACCTCCAAGGGCGGTCAGAGGGGCAGCACACACGCACCTCCAAGGGCGGTCAGAGGGGCAGCACACACGCACCTCCAAGGGCGGTCAGAGGGAGGCAGCACACACGCACCTCCAAGGGCGGTCAGAGGGGCAGCACACACGCACCTCCAAGGGCGGTCAGAGGGAGGCAGCACACACGCACCTCCAAGGGCGGTCAGAGGGGCAGCACACACGCACCTCCAAGGGCGGTCAGAGGGGCAGCACACACGCACCTCCAAGGGCGGTCAGAGGGGCAGCACACACGCACCTCCAAGGGCGGTCAGAGGGGCAGCACACACGCACCTCCAAGGGCGGTCAGAGGGGCAGCACACACGCACCTCCAAGGGCGGTCAGAGGGGCAGCACACACGCACCTCCAAGGGCGGTCAGAGGGGCAGCACACACGCACCTCCAAGGGCGGTCAGAGGGGCAGCACACACGCACCTCCAAGGGCGGTCAGAGGGGCAGCACACACGCACCTCCAAGGGCGGTCAGAGGGGCAGCACACACGCACCTCCAAGGGCGGTCAGAGGGGCAGCACACACGCACCTCCAAGGGCGGTCAGAGGGGCAGCACACACGCACCTCCAAGGGCGGTCAGAGGGGCAGCACACACGCACCTCCAAGGGCGGTCAGAGGGGCAGCACACACGCACCTCCAAGGGCGGTCAGAGGGGCAGCACACACGCACCTCCAAGGGCGGTCAGAGGGGCAGCACACACGCACCTCCAAGGGCGGTCAGAGGGGCAGCACACACGCACCTCCAAGGGCGGTCAGAGGGGCAGCACACACGCACCTCCAAGGGCGGTCAGAGGGGCAGCACACACGCACCTCCAAGGGCGGTCAGAGGGGCAGCACACACGCACCTCCAAGGGCGGTCAGAGGGGCAGCACACACGCACCTCCAAGGGCGGTCAGAGGGGCAGCACACACGCACCTCCAAGGGCGGTCAGAGGGAGGCAGCACACACGCACCTCCAAGGGCGGTCAGAGGGGCAGCACACACGCACCTCCAAGGGCGGTCAGAGGGGCAGCACACACGCACCTCCAAGGGCGGTCAGAGGGGCAGCACACACGCACCTCCAAGGGCGGTCAGAGGGGCAGCACACACGCACCTCCAAGGGCGGTCAGAGGGGCAGCACACACGCACCTCCAAGGGCGGTCAGAGGGGCAGCACACACGCACCTCCAAGGGCGGTCAGAGGGGCAGCACACACGCACCTCCAAGGGCGGTCAGAGGGGCAGCACACACGCACCTCCAAGGGCGGTCAGAGGGGCAGCACACACGCACCTCCAAGGGCGGTCAGAGGGGCAGCACACACGCACCTCCAAGGGCGGTCAGAGGGGCAGCACACACGCACCTCCAAGGGCGGTCAGAGGGGCAGCACACACGCACCTCCAAGGGCGGTCAGAGGGGCAGCACACACGCACCTCCAAGGGCGGTCAGAGGGGCAGCACACACGCACCTCCAAGGGCGGTCAGAGGGAGGCAGCACACACGCACCTCCAAGGGCGGTCAGAGGGGCAGCACACACGCACCTCCAAGGGCGGTCAGAGGGAGGCAGCACACACGCACCTCCAAGGGCGGTCAGAGGGGCAGCACACACGCACCTCCAAGGGCGGTCAGAGGGAGGCAGCACACACGCACCTCCAAGGGCGGTCAGAGGGGCAGCACACACGCACCTCCAAGGGCGGTCAGAGGGGCAGCACACACGCACCTCCAAGGGCGGTCAGAGGGGCAGCACACACGCACCTCCAAGGGCGGTCAGAGGGGCAGCACACACGCACCTCCAAGGGCGGTCAGAGGGGCAGCACACACGCACCTCCAAGGGCGGTCAGAGGGGCAGCACACACGCACCTCCAAGGGCGGTCAGAGGGGCAGCACACACGCACCTCCAAGGGCGGTCAGAGGGGCAGCACACACGCACCTCCAAGGGCGGTCAGAGGGGCAGCACACACGCACCTCCAAGGGCGGTCAGAGGGGCAGCACACACGCACCTCCAAGGGCGGTCAGAGGGGCAGCACACACGCACCTCCAAGGGCGGTCAGAGGGGCAGCACACACGCACCTCCAAGGGCGGTCAGAGGGGCAGCACACACGCACCTCCAAGGGCGGTCAGAGGGGCAGCACACACGCACCTCCAAGGGCGGTCAGAGGGGCAGCACACACGCACCTCCAAGGGCGGTCAGAGGGGCAGCACACACGCACCTCCAAGGGCGGTCAGAGGGGCAGCACACACGCACCTCCAAGGGCGGTCAGAGGGGCAGCACACACGCACCTCCAAGGGCGGTCAGAGGGGCAGCACACACGCACCTCCAAGGGCGGTCAGAGGGGCAGCACACACGCACCTCCAAGGGCGGTCAGAGGGGCAGCACACACGCACCTCCAAGGGCGGTCAGAGGGGCAGCACACACGCACCTCCAAGGGCGGTCAGAGGGGCAGCACACACGCACCTCCAAGGGCGGTCAGAGGGGCAGCACACACGCACCTCCAAGGGCGGTCAGAGGGGCAGCACACACGCACCTCCAAGGGCGGTCAGAGGGGCAGCACACACGCACCTCCAAGGGCGGTCAGAGGGAGGCAGCACACACGCACCTCCAAGGGCGGTCAGAGGGGCAGCACACACGCACCTCCAAGGGCGGTCAGAGGGAGGCAGCACACACGCACCTCCAAGGGCGGTCAGAGGGGCAGCACACACGCACCTCCAAGGGCGGTCAGAGGGGCAGCACACACGCACCTCCAAGGGCGGTCAGAGGGGCAGCACACACGCACCTCCAAGGGCGGTCAGAGGGGCAGCACACACGCACCTCCAAGGGCGGTCAGAGGGGCAGCACACACGCACCTCCAAGGGCGGTCAGAGGGGCAGCACACACGCACCTCCAAGGGCGGTCAGAGGGGCAGCACACACGCACCTCCAAGGGCGGTCAGAGGGGCAGCACACACGCACCTCCAAGGGCGGTCAGAGGGGCAGCACACACGCACCTCCAAGGGCGGTCAGAGGGGCAGCACACACGCACCTCCAAGGGCGGTCAGAGGGGCAGCACACACGCACCTCCAAGGGCGGTCAGAGGGGCAGCACACACGCACCTCCAAGGGCGGTCAGAGGGGCAGCACACACGCACCTCCAAGGGCGGTCAGAGGGGCAGCACACACGCACCTCCAAGGGCGGTCAGAGGGGCAGCACACACGCACCTCCAAGGGCGGTCAGAGGGGCAGCACACACGCACCTCCAAGGGCGGTCAGAGGGGCAGCACACACGCACCTCCAAGGGCGGTCAGAGGGGCAGCACACACGCACCTCCAAGGGCGGTCAGAGGGGCAGCACACACGCACCTCCAAGGGCGGTCAGAGGGGCAGCACACACGCACCTCCAAGGGCGGTCAGAGGGGCAGCACACACGCACCTCCAAGGGCGGTCAGAGGGGCAGCACACACGCACCTCCAAGGGCGGTCAGAGGGGCAGCACACACGCACCTCCAAGGGCGGTCAGAGGGGCAGCACACACGCACCTCCAAGGGCGGTCAGAGGGGCAGCACACACGCACCTCCAAGGGCGGTCAGAGGGGCAGCACACACGCACCTCCAAGGGCGGTCAGAGGGGCAGCACACACGCACCTCCAAGGGCGGTCAGAGGGGCAGCACACACGCACCTCCAAGGGCGGTCAGAGGGGCAGCACACACGCACCTCCAAGGGCGGTCAGAGGGGCAGCACACACGCACCTCCAAGGGCGGTCAGAGGGGCAGCACACACGCACCTCCAAGGGCGGTCAGAGGGGCAGCACACACGCACCTCCAAGGGCGGTCAGAGGGGCAGCACACACGCACCTCCAAGGGCGGTGCGCGCAAGCGGTTGTGGCAGGCAACAACATGTTGTGTTGGACATGTGAGGAGAAGCGAATTTAGGTGGACACACCATCAGAGTATGGAGGCACAGCAATGGGAGGGCAAGAACAGACAAGTGGTACGCAGGCGGAGGTGGTGTGTGCATTTGTGTGGGCGAAGGGGCATGGTTGTGAGCGAGGTGGGTGGGGAGCATGCGGAGCAGCGACCTCGACTTTGAGGCGGCCGATGGAGTCCCCAAAGACAACAATGTTGTTGACCCGTGTGCTGCGCGGCTGCAGGGATATCTGCTGGTACACCTTGAACGCATCCACTCCCACAAACGCCCTCTGTGCCGCGGCACCATGCCACACACCATGCATTGCCACACACCATGCATTGCCACACACCATGCATTGCCACACGCCATGCATTGCCACACGCCATGCATTGCCACACGCCATGCATTGCCACACGCCATGCATTGCCACACACCATGCATTGCCACACACCATGCATTGCCACACACCATGCATTTCCACACACCATGCATTGCCACACACCATGCATTTCCACACGCCATGCATTGCCACACACCATGCATTGCCACACGCCATGCATTGCCACACGCCATGCATTGCCACACGCCATGCATTGCCACACACCATGCATTGCCACACCCCATGCATTGCCACACACCATGCATTGCCACACGCCATGCATTGCCACACACCATGCATTGCCACACACCATGCATTGCCACACGCCATGCATTGCCACACACCATGCATTGCCACACGCCATGCATTGCCACACGCCATGCATTGCCACACACCATGCATTGCCACACCATGCATTGCCACACACCATGCATTGCCACACACCATGCATTGCCACACGCCATGCATTGCCACACGCCATGCATTGCCACACGCCATGCATTGCCACACGCCATGCATCAACAAAGAGGGCATATGAGTGGCCTATACCGACGACAGAGAGAGTGGCAATGGTGGGGGAGGCGAAGCAGGAGCGGCAGGGGACGAGGTGCAGAGCAGGCGCGTGCGGCATGCAAAGGTACATGGCCGAGCTCCCACACGCAAGCGCACGCATGGCAATTAGCGCATGGGAAAACCCTCTGTGAGAAGCAGGTGCCGCACAGCACGGGGTGGCAAGGTGGGGGGCGTCCCAGCACGGGCAGGGCAGGGCAGGGCAGGGCAGGGCAGGGCACCTGGATGGGTGAGGCAGTGCCAGGGCGCGTGGTGTAGAGCAGCTCCCACGTGCCCTCCAGCAGGGGCGAGCGCGCCTGCCCTCACACACGGGCAGGCAAGGGCACGGCGAGCAGAGGAAACGGAGAGGGGAAATGGGGGGAGACGGCGGATGGGCAAGGTTGAATGTTGGCGGAAAAGGGCGAATGAGAAGCATAGGAAGTGCAAGGATCACACGGTAACAGCATGCGCATTCAGCGAGAAATGGCTGTCACACACACGTAGGTGGAAGAAAAGGATGCGGCCTCGCACTCACTGCCTCGCACTCACTGCCTCGCACTCACTGCCGCGTCCATGCATCGGCCCGTGCGCGTCCGTCCCCTTTGCACGCTCAGCACAAAGTCCTGAATTCCGCCACACTCCCTGCCCTGCTTCACGCATTCCCTCTCTCTCCATGTGCCCCTCACCCGCATGTGCCCCAGGCACAGGCACTGACCGGGTCGCGCACGCCCTGACTGGCCTCGAGGCGCTCCACCGCCCTCACAATGGCCTGCACGCCATGGCCGCTCACATGGCGCCCACCCACCCCACGCATTCCCCCACCCAACCCATGCACACCCACACACGCGCACAGGCACTCACATCACGTCATAACACACACCCACACACCCACACAGCAATACACTCATGCACTCAGGCACACTCACAAACACACACACACACACACACACACACACACACACACACACACAGGCACAGACACAGGCACAGACACAGATGCAGACACACACACAATCGCACATGAACCGGGGGAGAGGGTGCAGGGCAGATGCGGAAGGGTGAGGGGCATGGCAGCGGCGAATGGAGGCATGCAGCAACGTGGCGTGCGCTGCCCATGGGCCCGCTGGTGGCCGTGCTGACTGGCACCACGCACGGCGCCATCACGTGCGTGCCCACTACGATGGCAGCACGCTGGCGCCCCGCTGGGGGACACGTGCAGCAGCGCCGTGCCACATGGTGCACGCGGAGGCGAGCGCAGGGAGGGCGTGGGAGGGGACAGAAAGGCAACGAGAGAGGGACGAGGGGCACGCTGCGCGCGCACACCTGGCGCATGGCGCTCATCCCCGACGGCCCTCTCTGTGTGCCCCCGCGCTCACCTGCCGCTGCTCGTCCGTCACCTCTCTCCCCCGCCCCTTCACCGCCCCCACTGCCGCCACCAACGCCGCCTCGTCCGCCGTCTCCGCCGCGCGTCCTGTGGCGACCGGTGACGGCAGGCGCCGCAACGCCGCCGCCAGCGGCTGGAAGACGCCTGAGAGGGACGAGGGGGGGTGGCGGGGCCGTGGCAAGGGGTGGTTGAGACGCGGGACGCGGGATGAGGCGAGTGCGCGCAGAAGAGAGAGCTGTTCGGACGGGTGGCGGCGGAAGAGGCAGAGAGAGCGAGCGGACGGATGTGAGCGCGGCAGCGAATGGCGGCGCACCACCTTGAGCGGGAGGGAGTGACGCGCGGACTGCCGCGCTGCGGCGTGCGGACGCAGCGAGTGGAGACGCGCGCGCAGTGGGTAGGCGGGTGCCGCGCAAGGAACGGGTGGTACGGTCGGCGCATAGCAACGGCGGAGGGGCGAAGAGAGAAGCGCGGTACGTTGCACGTGGAAGGACGGCCACGGGGACGGATGTCGGGAGACACGAGGAAGTGAGCGGCGCAGCCATATGGGTGACGCAATGGGCACTGTACGTGCTGATGCTGATGGGTGCTCTCAAGGTGAGGTCTGAGGGTGGTGGTCCAACTTATTTGGTGGACAGCGATATGCGAAGCAACGATGTCGGAAAATATGGGCGCTGTTATGTTGCCACATAGGCTTTGCGGGGCGAAATGACGAGCACTGTCGAGAACTGTGTTTCCCTCACAATCACCGACCCAAATTATCGCGGCCTCGCCACGTCGGATAGTGCCTAATTCCACGGACTGCGTTTCTGCGGGCCCTTTTTTATCGCTTTTCCCGCCCTTTCTCTCCGAATTTCGGCAACCCTTTTGACACTGGAAAAATCACAAACAGTCGCAATTACTAACTTTGCACATCATGACAAAACATTCGTGACTTTTAGGCATGCCCAATCAGCATTTGGGATAATTTTTTGAAAACCATCACGTTGTTCATTCGACCTAAAAGGCCTCATAGGCGCGGTGATAATATTGTATATCATGCGCTTAAAACCCGCAGCCTGAATTACAAAAAAAGGTCGGGAGGTGTTAACACCTCACCTTCCGGACCAGCACCTCCCCTCCCGAACCAGGGTGGTTACCAGGTCTCCACCTGCAAAACGTGAAAGAAGTCGCAGGCAGCACAGCGAAGGGTCGCTCGGTTCTTGCGCAACCACTCTAGCTGTGGTGTGCACGCCGGACTCTGACTTGTAATTCAGGTCGACAGAAAATGCCCAGTCTCAGCAGCTAGAGCGACAGCCATGGCTTAGAAATTCTAGGCTTCCAAGCAAATCCAGCGCATGTCTGAAAATTCCGCCATAGGGCTTTAGGACTGTGACTCCATTCTTGCAATCCATCGCTTTTGCCAAACGCTGGCCTAGGTCACGTTTCCACGTTTCTCTGCGGTGTTCTAGCTAAAGCCGTCGCGGAAGAGAACTCCTTCCCGTCGCCCATTTTCTCCCAAACAAGCACGCACACTCCCCATCCGTTACCCTCGCGCACTCCATTCCGCTGCACGCTCAAGAACGCGTAGCACCAGCCGATGCTTTGTAAATTCTTCTAGGGTAAGGCCTTCAACTTCCATGACAAGGGCGTAAGGTTTGGAAACCTGGACTCCATCCTGAACCTAACTTGTACTGTACTTTGTGCAATGCGTGTTAACGGGAATGCAGTGTTGGCCCCGCCCTCGCTTGGGCGACGAGAACGTCCTGGTCGGATGTACGGGAGATGCAGCTAACCGTATGCAGCGAGGGAGCTGCTTGACGGGCTTCGTCGAGCTGCAGGGGACCGCTTCGGTGCTGCCGTCGACGGGGTGCTAGCGACCTACTTATGCGGGCAGGTCGACGAGGTGTTCGTCGACCTGCACAGGACGGGTCGCGCAGCTGGAGCCGTCGACTAGGGAAGCTCGAAGAACGTAGTGGTTGATGAGGGGCTCGTCGACCAGGGCGCGCACAGGGTGGTCGACCAGGTAACCCACTCGGCGGGTTCTGCGGAAGCACGCGAATGCTGTCGAGGTCGCGATGGCGTAGGCGACTTAGGGCTGGTATCCTAAAGTCGATGTGGCTCGTTAGGCGCAGACCAGGGCCGATGGATGCACAACGGTGCAAGTCAAGCCAATCATCTGCGCGCACCTGCGAGAGTGCGCACTGCTGTCCTCTACGGGTGCAACGCTGGACTGTGACTCTGCTGCAGCGTTGGCACACCGTCGACTTGCTGTGTTGGCAGGACGCGTTTCTGCAGTGCTTGTAGTCGACCATGCTGCGCTGGCGGTCGACCAGGCTAGCTGCAGAGTTGCTAGGTGCCTGATGTAGTCATTCTTGTCATTGTCATTTCAATCATTATGTAATGCAAACTTGGCTACTGGAAACTCTTGCAAAATTCACCCGTGATTGTGCAAGTGCTAAGGAACTAGGCAAAGCTACGATCACTCCTAGAGTTCGTGCCAACCCCCGTAGTCTAGCTCACGACTATTGTAGAGTGACTCTCCGCATGGTGCGGTGAGCGTGGACCGAACACACGATCTTCAGATAGGACTGACTTTTGTACCTACTAAGTAGTTTGTTGGCCGACAGCCGATTTAGTCACCATGGTCGACCCCGTTGTTGGAGCGGGCGTAGTAGATACCCTGGAGGCTCGTTTGGCTGATGTGAGGAGACGCCACGAGGCTGGAGAGTACGGGCCAAACCTCCCCTTGGAGGTCGTCGAGCTGGGCATCCGCAAAACGTGGGCGATGGAGCACCTTCTTGTTCTGCATCTCCTTGACTGGTGAGGAACGAAGGCGGCGTCGATGAGGAGGTCGACGGAAGTGCAAGATTCAGCGGCAGCGAAGGCACGAAGTAGAAAGGGGTGATCAAGGTCGACGTTGGCGTCAACGGGAGTCAGGCGCGAGTGCAGCGGTCGACGGTGGCTCCAGGCAGCTCGTGTGTTGACATCGATGGTCGGCGTTGCTCTCCTCGACGAAGCAGTGGGCGTCCTTCTGCAACAACGCACGTGACGGCAGGCGGGATCGCGCCGGCGTATGGCTACTTCAAGTTTTTGGATCACCGTTGCACCGCTGCAAGGTCAGTAATGCAGATAGCTTTCAGGTCGTGTCGACCGTGACTGGATGCTGGTCACCAAGCATGGCGATTCATCCTGTCGACATAGCACGCGGTAGACGACCTGTACATCGGTCAGCTGGAGGAGAAGATAACAGAAATTCGGATGGGCGAGCAGGAGTCGGCAACGAACTACCCAACCAGCTCGACGGATTCTGGCGGATGGCGGGCGTCAAATGTTTGACGACATCCTACATCACCCACGTCATCAAGGGCCTGCCGCACAGCTACAACCTCATGAAGAGGATGATGATGGTGCCCGGCACGCGTGATTCCCTTGACGAGGACTCCCTTACCAGCTGCTTTATCAAAGATCAGGCGCGGAGGCAGAACAACCCACAGCGCTCCTTCCGCAAGCGAGCTACGCCGCCCCGACGAAGCTGAGTCAACAGCAGGGGCAGCGTGGGAAGCAGGGCAGAGGTGGTAGTGGAGGTGGGTGGTGAGCGAAGGACGTCGACGAGATGAAGCCGACGCGGGACAAGGGCCGAGGAGGTGGTGGTCGACGGCGGGAGCTCCAGATCTGCGGCGACCCAGACCAACTCTCCTTCGAGTGCCCCGACCGCGATGACAGCGACGAGGACCAGTCACCTACAAGCTTGGCATCCATTTAGCCCTTCATTTCTGCACGGACGTCAACTCCTGCACAAGAAATAAAGTTCGTGGTTAGAAATCCGCATGAAGATTGAGGAAACAGATGCATAAAACGATTGCAACTGACCAGCAAGGACCCTAATCTTCGGTATAATCTTGCGCTTAAAGATCAACATGGCAGGGAGCTTGCAGCCATCTGTGGTGATGCCGAGCAAGACAGTCACCCTCTCCTTCTCGTAGCCCGCGCTCCTGACATGCACCGTCTTCTCACCGCGGTGATGAAGGGTGCGCTCGTTCGGCATCTCCAGGAAAAATGGCGTTTGGTCGGTGTTTATAATGTTCTTCCGCGTGAACGCCCAAAACTTTTCGCGCTTCGGCTTGCACCCTGCCATGCACAAACACATCAAGGTTCTTGGGCATTAGTCACGGCAATGGGTTTGACATTAATGTCACATGGCAGGGACCAAAGTACGGGAGCACACTAAGGCTGCAAACTACACAAATAACTCACCTTTCTCAAGCCGCTGACCCATCTTCTTCTTCACGCGGATGGAGAGACCCAGGCGCACGCGGAAGCGGAAGGTCCTCCGGTTGGACGCCATGCACCTCACTTCCAGGTAATGGGCCTTCATGTAGCACCGGCTCCAATGATTGATGAGCCGGATAGGGACGGCCACGCCACATCCGCGGAAGTTCAAGGGCCTCTTCGAGGCATGCGCCTCCATGTTTGGGTACTTCGTCTTCTTCCCAAACCAACTCAGGTTGCGCAAGGACGGTGCCGCTTTCTTAATCCACTCCACCGCCCTGATCCACCGGCAAATGCTGACTGGCTGCACTCCCGCCAGACATGCGGTGTGGCGGACGGGGAGTTTCTCCTCTTCCATCCATGCGAGCCAATCGTGTTTCTCTCCCATCGTTCGCACCTTGCGACTGTGTGTAGTCTTATGTATGCGAGGACTCGATGGCGCACCGTTCACCCTAGATCGCGGCCCGTTCTCGTCGTCGATGAGATCTTTGGGAAACGTCGGGACCAGAAAAGCCCGACGTCGTCTTCCATCTCCCCGTTAGTAACGTTCTCCTCTTCCTCGGCGGCAGGTTCAAGAAACCCCCGTCCTCGACCAGTTCCAACGGAGGTGTGGTGCGTCAGTCGACGAAGATCGGGGCAAGCACAGGGGGCGCAGGAGGCGAACGAGGAGCCAAGGGCGGCAGAGGTGCAGGTTGTTGGGTGCAAATTCACATTGCACGACATTGTGCCGTCTGTTACGAGTATGCGTGTGCGAATGTATTTGCGTGTGAATGGTGTGTTCGTATGTTTGTTTGCTTTCGCAATTTTCGCTTGAAGCATTTGCAGGTACTCACGCAATGTGCACTTTGACACAACATTGTAAGTGCTATGAACAGTGCAAGCAGCAAAGGAATCCAAGATGGAAGCTTTGCAGTTCGGTTGAGTTGATTGCTCCGATTCAATTATATCCAACTCGAAACAACACTGCTTTGTTTGGTTGACTATAGTGTAGCAGGGCAGGCACTATAGGGGTACAATTTGGGTGAAGGTTGGATGTTGTTTGTCTGTATCTGCATGCTACAAGGCCAAGGGAAACCAGCAGAACCAGCATTTGGCTGGTTGGGCAAAGACAAAACAGGTTTTGTTTTTAGAACCTGAACCTGGTTTTTGTTTTCCCAGGTCGGAAAAACAAAACCAGAGGTTGTTTACCA